AGATAAACTTACATTTGATAATAACGTAATTGATGTTTTTAAGTATATAGTTGCATGTATTGAATAAAAATATTTTTATTAAATTGTATTAGTATCGAACATAATAATTAATGTTACAGATATTAGTTCCCGCTTCCTATGTCCAAATTTATGTGGTCGAAGTTACAAATATAAGCGTGGAGTATACACTCATGTGAAATTTGAGTGTGGTGTGGAACCCAGTTTTTTATGTTCATTGTGTCCAAAGAAATTTGCTAGGAAGTTCCAGCTAGAAAGTCATTTGGTGTTGAAGCACAAAGTTGTTAAAATTAGATGTAATTTTACAAATTAAATGGTGTGATAGTTCATCATAAATAAAATCTGTTGTATATTTGTATAAAAAAAGAAAACTATCTATTAACATCTTATTCTAAAATAATTCGTTAATGTCAAATTAAATTCCTATACCTACCTTTAAGTTATACTTATATTCATTTACATGACATACAAAATTGTTATAATTTTTACTGAGTTTTTATTGTATATAATTAATGTTTATACCAATGTGTTTTCTATATTTATATTAAGTTAATTATATTGTTAATTTTGTTGGATTTAAAATGTATTATGTATAATTATAATTCATTAAATTATTTTTATCAACTTTTTTCATCATTTGATCAAACGTATAGTGTCAACATAATTATTATGGTTCTGGGTCATGGATAAATACTATTTTATTTAGCCACGTTAGTGATCATGTGTGAATAATCATATAGAATTTGAAGTGTGTCATATATTTTTCAAATTATACTTGTTTTGTAACAAATTATGATATGTTTATATCTTCTGATTATTCATTGGTCAAGTTGTAAACATAAGAATATAAGGGGTCTTAGAAATATTAAAAGAATAATATCACTTAGATATTTATTTTAAGCTCCCATATAGCCTTTGGTCTGTAGGCCAAAGGTAAAAAATGATATGAATCCGGGTATAAATCATTTTGTATTAAATATAATTTAATAATTATAGTAGAAACCACACTCCTTTTCCCTATAATAAAGAGATTTCACCTATATATATTATGTATATATTATATATATACTGTAGATACATATTTCTTTTTTGAAGAAATATTGCTTACAACTGAAATGTTTAAATATTTATCCATATTTCTTGAGTTAATATTAATTAACAGTTAGATATATTTGTTTAAAAGACCTCCAAACATATAAAAATCTACATAAAATATTGATATAACAAATATAGAATAATTATTTTGTATTTTTGATTTAGTTATTTAAAAATAAAACCACATTTTTGCGGAGCTGTGTAAATGTATAAACTTATATCGATGATATTGTTTTGGGCATGATGTTTGTAGATCATCTATCAATAAAACAATATACTTTATAATGGACTATAGTTATTAATATTCAATTAAAAAACCAGGTAAAATATGAATAAAAATAATTAGTTGACAATTGAATAATAATTTTTTTTTTCACTTGTCTAGTGTAAAAATGTATTCCAGAAATGTAATTAGCGCAATCTTATGAAATATTTTATCAATGATAAATATTTGTCATTGTTACAGCAACTATCGTCATTAATATATAAGTTGGCATAAAGCCTAATAAATGAATGCTTTGCTTGTCACATATTATTATGAACTTGTTTGATAGTTATTATTTTATAGGCGTATTGGACACAACAACAGTATTTAGTTTATTTGTTATTATTATTATTATTATTATGATTATTATTATTATTATTATTATTATTATTATTATTATTATTACTTTTGTTTATCATAATTATCATTATAGTTAATAGTATTGTTATGTGATGTTAGCATTTTATGTTTTTTTAAAATAATTTTGTATTTATATTATTATAGGTATTTTTAAAAACAGTGAACGAATCAGTTGTCCAAATAGATGCGGTCGTACATACAAAAATAAGATATCCCTGCAATGTCATTTAAGAAATGAATGTGGTACTCAACCAAAGTTTTTTTGTCCGTTTTGCGATAAAAAATGCTATCAAAAATCGAATATGAAATCGCATATTGTTCAAGTACACAAGACCTTCTGCAACATAGAACCAATTGCACCGTTACCATCATTGCGTGGTCGCAGAAAATTTAATAATTAAGTTACCAAATTACCAAAATCTTGAAAACACTTATGTTGTAGGGCATTAATAAGTAATTATTTTGTGTTGGTGTTTTATTTAAGAGTTAAAAATTATTGAAAGCTGCCATGTATGCAGATTTGATTTTATCATTATTTTTCTGTTAATGTCTATGGGCGACCATCAGGAGGGTTAGGGATGGGCAAAGTAATAATAAAAATCAATTAACAAATACATTTGTATGAAATAAATAAATAATTTCTTTTATAAAGTTACATACTTAAGAATAAAATATTTTTATTTTTAACCCCTTAAAGATAACTTGATGAGCACCCATGTATATTACATTAAACTATTTTAAAATTGTGTAAATAAACATATTTTCCCATATAATACAGTGTTGTTTTAAAATTGAATCACTATTAATAAGGTTCTTATTTTGTACCTTTTTGATATCTTTACTTATTTCAATAAATCTTTACCAATAATTAGTAAACACACACAAAATTAAATATTGTCATTGTAATTTTTATATGTGCCTACAATTTTGAGTTATCTGTTAAATCTATTTATTACTTGTGATTAATAACTAGTATTCTTTTCAATACTTGTTTTAAATTATATTGGTTTTCTATTCAGAATAATTAACACTAACCATTGTGAATTTCTTAAAAATAAAGTTATGGTTAACAGGAACTAGTAATGATGAATTGCTAGATACTGCCTTCTTTGATTCTATTTTTTTTTTTTTTTTTTTAATTGCTTCTCGTAATCTCACGAGTTTCTCCATAGCTATTCATAAATATTTCTCTTCTATACGCGTATGGTTTGTCAAATTTTAGGTCAATCGAAGTATTCATTATTTCCATTCGAAACTGTGTACAGTTGTCAAAACATCAGCTGTGGACGGACTTATCGGAACCGTGGTTCCTTGACCAGACATTTGAAGTTTGAGTGCGGCAAGCAGCCAAAGTATTCATGTACATTATGTGAAAAACGGTGTGCCCTTAAGTCTAATTTAAAACAGCACATGATCGCTGTCCATAAGATTATGCCAAGCTTATGAGATTATTTTCTTGTATTAATTTAATAAAATTTTTACATTTTCTCAATCAAAACTATCTTTTTCCATATTTAAACATTTATTAAATATGTATAACTATAGATCATACAATATGTATTATTATATCTACTACCTAATAGTTTAATATACATTTATAATTTCTATATTTGTGTTTTATTTTAAAATTAAATATGTAAATCTGTATTTTGCTAAATTTTTAATCAAAACATTAGATTTAGGCTTGAAAATATTAAGAATATTTAAAGATGTTTATTTTGGATCTTATATAGAACCTTAATAACAATAAAATTATTTTGTTTTTTCGGTTTTAATATAAACCATCTATTACTACTATGTTAGTTAATGTGATCAAAGATTTAGTTTTTATCATATTATTATGTGTTATTTATTAATAAATAAGTGTATAAAGTTATTTTTTTTATTTTACTATTGAAATTGCTGTTTATTTATGTGTTATATGTAAGTATAAAAATCTAAAGTAAAGATTTTATTATTTTATTTATTCACATAATATATTATTCTATATGTTCAGAATAAAAATGTATAGTGATTATCTATGTCTGTAATAATATTATAATGTTATGATAGGTATATATATGTATATATTTAAGTTTCATTTGCCAATTTTATATAACTTAACGCACACACATTTTTTTATAATATGTATATAATTAGTATACATGGTGTCCTACAAATGTATATTAATATTGGAAATAATACAAAATATACCACTATTTAAAACTAGCTAATTTTTTTAGAATACTTAATACTATTGCCTTATATTATCAAATGTATTACCTATGTATAATATATTTGCATCAATA